GAATCGGAAATCTACCAACAGCAACAACATCAACACAGCCAAGAAGAACGGGAACGGGCCAAATGGAACTACAACCAACCATCCCAGGATATGCCATCAAAGACACCCGGTGGTCCCGGCTGGCTTAGTCGTGGCCTCCATGAACTCAAAGACAGTGAAGATGATACCCAATCTATGCTTTCCTCCTCATGCTATTTGCGAGGTCAGAATGCTCCCATCGAACCGCATGTTATGGCCGAACGTTTGGATAAAAAACGAAAAGCTGCCGAATATCATGAAGCCATCAAGCAGCAGTTACTGGAGAGGGAAAGTCAGCGACGTTGGGAAATCGAGAAACATCGTCAGGAGGAACAACAGGAGGAGGAGAGGGTACGCAAACAAAAACAAATGGAACAGGAGCGTTTGGAAATGGAACGGCGACAGCAGGTGGAGCGAGAGGAGGCTCAGAGACGAAAGCAGGAGGCAATGTTGGAGGCCATAGCCAAGGCGGAGATGGCAGCGAAAATGGAAAAGCAAAAGAAGAGGAATAAATTCAAGGAAGCTAAGGAGGAGGAGGTCGGCAAGGAGGGACGGGAGGAATGCAAGGAGGAATTGGTTGTGGAAACTGTGAGAAGTGAGGAAATTAAGGAGGAGGAGAAAAATATCGTGCAGGTTATGAATGTGGAGATCCATGAAAAGTGCGAGGAGGTGAAGGAAATATGCAGCGAACCGAAAAACCAGGAGCAGGAGGTTCAAGAAGAGGATAAGGTACTGATTGGCACTCCCATCAATTTGAGAAGGACCTTCAGCAAACCCATACAGCCTCCACCCATAGCGCAGCCTTTGGAAACGGAAAAGAAAGCAAAGGAGGACCCCAAGCCTGCCGAAAATGTGGTTATAATGCAACCGGCCACCTTGATACCCCTCCCTGTGACCACCGATATCTATGGCCTGCAAAATGCCATTGGAAATTTACAAATTGCCACGTACTTCATGCAACATCATCTGCAACCCCATACCGCCAATACCGATACAGATTTTTCCAAAACCACTGGAGGGGCTTTTACCCAACGAACAGATACTTCGATATGTACCGAAGAGGGTTATCAGCCACCAGAAACTCCACATCAACGGGCACAATCGGAAAATAAATATACTCAGGTGGAGGAGGAAATCTGCAAAGAACCCGAAGAGGAGGAGATGGAAAATAAAATGGCTTTGATACCCCTCCAACAGAACCCAAGGGAAGTTTTGAGGCAAAATTCTCCACAGGAGCTGAGCAGTGAGGAAAAAGATGCCACCAAAAATTCTCAAGATGTGGAGACGCAAACAGAGCTGCCATTGAATTGTGATTTGTGTCTGTTCCATGATAATTTTTACAAAGTTCTGCTAAAGCGAGAAGTATCCACCACCACAACTACCCAAACATCGAAGACCAATAAACCTGCCAAGGAGGCGGAAAAGGACCAAGAGACCACAACTACCACCACCACTACGACCACAACCACCTTCAAAGCCAAATCAAAGGATAAAGATAAGAAACGTCAGGGTGGCAAGGAGGGTCACAATAAAATCGATGAACGACCCAAATGGGGTGTCAATCGGCCCGTGGTCCAGTATGTCAAGGCCAGTGATCGGGATCCATTTTGTTTGCGCAACAAAAAGAAACATTGCAATGTGACGGGAGCGAAGCCTTCAAGATCTCAATCTGTCGATTCCCGACTGGATTGTGCCGAACAAAGTCACAATAAATCGAAGGAACAACATCATGGCACAACGGATCGACGTGAAAGTTCAGCCGAAAAGGAGGGATTTATGTTGAAGGCCCGCAATGTTTGCACGGAAATTTTACCCATTAAAACCGATGAAAAGGGGAGGATTTTCCTGAATTTCCGTGAGGCTAGTGCCATCATGAATGAGGATGAAATCAAGGAGAAATTGAGGCAGAAATATTTTAACTTTGGTCGGATTCTACCCAGGCGAAGTTGGGCATCTGCTACTCATAATGGAGGCGGTGGAGGACAAGGTGGAGTTGGAACGATGAATTATGCCATATCGCAGGTGGGAGACATAAATGGAGATTAAAGAAAATTAATCACTTAGAGAGGAGAGAAAATAAAAAAATTAAATAACCATTTTGTAGTTGTATTTGTAATAAAAATAAATAAAAACAATAAAAAACCAGTGAGCGGAGCAGTATAGTCGGACGGGGCCGACCATACGATACCCTACACAACTACCACGAACTCTAACTTTCTGAGGATGTTTATTCCGAGTCTGAGTAATATTTCGTGATATTTGCCCCCTCCTGTCCGGTCAACAACACCTCTTCCTTACTTTTTTCGAATATTTAGTACAGTCCTTCTAATTACTTGTCCAGATTACCTTCACGGTGGGTTGTGTTGTGATTTTCGGATTATACTCGACTCGAAAACACACAAAAAATTATGTTTTCGGTCCATTTCATCCCAAAATTTTAATTAGATCATCACCGAAAATTGTAGGCGTTGTTCTTGACCAAAACTGGAACTTCATGAAAAATTTCAACGCCATCAGCGCGATATTTCCCCCTCTAATGTGGTAATGGGTTACTAAATAATATCTGAATACGTAAGCACCTGTAAATATTTGACTGTAACTCCCACATCTGAGTAGATACATCACTATATTTGGTGTCAATTTAAAGGCCAACCACTCCTCTTGGATATGCTATAACCTCCTTGGGTCTACATCCTCCAGGAGTAAATATATATGCCATAGAATACAAATTTAGTCATTTTTCACACAAAAGTCAGGGTCCATTTGACCCGCTAAATATTGACCGATCTTTATCAAAACATGCATGCTTATTCTCTGGCCCGATCCCCTTCTCCATGCAAAAATTCGCGGTGTTTGGGCCATAATTGCGGCCTCTGGAGCGACCAGAAAAACCGACAAAAATAAAGTTTTTGGTCCATTTCATCCCCTAAATATTAACCGATCTTTTCCAAAAACAATAGGGGTCTTCATTGGCCAGAACCCATCCTACATGCAAAATTTCGTGAAGATTGGTCCATAACTGTGGCCTGTATCGTGTTTACAAATTATAATGGACAGACGGACGGACGGACGGACACACATGTCTAGATCGACTCAGCTAGTCGAGATATGACGATCGGTATACTTAAAGGTGGGTCTGGGACCAATATTTCGCGGCGTTACAAACATTTGGGGCTGCACAAAGCTATAATACCCTGACAACATAGTTGTGTAGGGTATAAAAACAGAAATGAAAATAGTAAAGTCGGACTTGGCCGACTATATGATACCCTTCACCATTTTGGCATATTCTACATATATATCCTAATAGACTTCACCTTTACGAAGGAACATTGATATGGAAATTGAACGAACTTAAATATATGATATTTATCTATATGTGAACCGACTAACATCAATCCGTACATTAGGAGTTTGGTGCACCATCTACCTAAAATCGGACGAAAATGAGCGCTATATCTAAATCTGAACCGATTTACACAAAATTTAACACACATCGTTCTAGACTTAATTCAGAACGCTATGCCAAATTTCGTGTAAATCGAAAGATATCTAGGGACTTTGGGGCACTTTTTACATAAAATCGGACGAAAATATATATGGGAGCTATATCTAACTCTGAACCGATTTTGACGAAACTTAACAGACATCACTCTACCCTTAATTTAGAACACTGTGCCAAATTTCGTGTAAATCGAAAGATATAAAGGGACCTTAGTGCACTATTTACCTAAAATCGGACGAAAATATATATGGGAGCTATATCGAAATCTGAACCGATTTTCACGAAATTTAACACACATCGTTCTAAGCTTAATTCAATGCGATATGCCAAATTTCGTGCCAATCGAAAGATGTATAGGACTTTCGTGCACCTTTTACATAAAATCGGACGAAAATATATATGGGAGCTATATCAAAATTTGAACTGATTTTTACGAAATTTAAAACACATCGTTCTAGGTTTAATTCAGTACTCTATGTCAAATTTCGTGCAAATCAAAAGATATATAGGTACTTTGGTGCACCATTTACCTTAAATCGGACGAAAATATATATGGGAGCTATATCTAAATCTGAACCGATTTTCACAATATTTAACACACATCGTTCTAGACTTAATTCAGAACGCTATGCCAAATTTCGTGCAAATCGACCACCGATATCTATGGCCTGCAAAATGCCATTGGAAATTTACAAATTGCCACGTACTTCATGCAACATCATCTGCAACCCCATACCGCCAATACCGATACAGATTTTTCCAAAACCACTGGAGGGGCTTTTACCCAACGAACAGATACTTCGATATGTACCGAAGAGGGTTATCAGCCACCAGAAACTCCACATCAACGGGCACAATCGGAAAATAAATATACTCAGGTGGAGGAGGAAATCTGCAAAGAACCCGAAGAGGAGGAGATGGAAAATAAAATGGCTTTGATACCCCTCCAACAGAACCCAAGGGAAGTTTTGAGGCAAAATTCTCCACAGGAGCTGAGCAGTGAGGAAAAAGATGCCACCAAAAATTCTCAAGATGTGGAGACGCAAACAGAGCTGCCATTGAATTGTGATTTGTGTCTGTTCCATGATAATTTTTACAAAGTTCTGCTAAAGCGAGAAGTATCCACCACCACAACTACCCAAACATCGAAGACCAATAAACCTGCCAAGGAGGCGGAAAAAGACCAAGAGACCACAACTACCACCACCACTACGACCACAACCACCTTCAAAGCCAAATCAAAGGATAAAGATAAGAAACGTCAGGGTGGCAAGGAGGGTCACAATAAAATCGATGAACGACCCAAATGGGGTGTCAATCGGCCCGTGGTCCAGTATGTCAAGGCCAGTGATCGGGATCCATTTTGTTTGCGCAACAAAAAGAAACATTGCAATGTGACGGGAGCGAAGCCTTCAAGATCTCAATCTGTCGATTCCCGACTGGATTGTGCCGAACAAAGTCACAATAAATCGAAGGAACAACATCATGGCACAACGGATCGACGTGAAAATTCAGCCGAAAAGGAGGGATTTATGTTGAAGGCCCGCAATGTTTGCACGGAAATTTTACCCATTAAAACCGATGAAAAGGGGAGGATTTTCCTGAATTTCCGTGAGGCTAGTGCCATCATGAATGAGGATGAAATCAAGGAGAAATTGAGGCAGAAATATTTTAACTTTGGTCGGATTCTACCCAGGCGAAGTTGGGCATCTGCTACTCATAATGGAGGCGGTGGAGGACAAGGTGGAGTTGGAACGATGAATTATGCCATATCGCAGGTGGGAGACATAAATGGAGATTAAAGAAAATTAATCACTTAGAGAGGAGAGAAAATAAAAAAATTAAATAACCATTTTGTAGTTGTATTTGTAATAAAAATAAATAAAAACAATAAAAAACCAGTGAGCGGAGCAGTATAGTCGGACGGGGCCGACCATACGATACCCTACACAACTACCACTGAACTCAAATTTTCTACGGATGTGTATTCCGAGCCTGGGCAATATTTCGTGATATTTGCACACTCTTGCCCGATTAGAGGTAAACAGCACCTCTTCCACACACTGACATATTTTCCGAATATTACGAATAAGTCAGGGTCCATTTGACTCGCTAAATATTGACCGATCTTTATCAAAACAGGCATGCTTATTCTTTGGCCCGACCCCCTTCTCCATGCAAAATTTCACGATGTTCGGGTCATTATTGCGGCCTGTGGAGCGACCAGAAAAACCGACAAAAATTTAGTATTTGGTCCATTTCATCCCCTAAATATTAACCGATCTTTCCCAAAAACAATAGGGGTCTTCATTGGCCAGAACCCATCCTACATGCAAAATTTCGTTAAGATTGGTCCATAACTGTGGCCTGTATCGTGTTTACAAATTATAATGGACAGACGGACGGACGGACATGTCTAGATCGACTCAGCTAGTCGAGATATGACGATCGGTATACTTAAAGGTGGGTCTAGGACCCATATTTCGCGGCGTTACAAACTCTTGGGGCTGCACAAAGCTGTAATACCCTGACAACATAGTTGTGTAGGGTATAAAAATTAAGTTTTCGGTCCACTTCATTCCAAAATTATTATCTGATCATCACCGAAAATTAAAGGCGTTGTCCTTGACCATAACTGGAACCTCATGAAACATTTCAAAGCGATCAGCGCTATGTTCGGCTCTCTAGAGTGATAATGGGTTACTAAATAACATACAAATACGGAGATACCTGTAAATATTTAGGTGTAACTCCCACATCAGAGCACATGCGACAATATAATTGGTCTTAATTTAAAGGTCAACCACTCCTCTTGGATATAATATCAATTTTTCGGGACTATGTCCTTCAGGGATAAATATATACGCTATAGAATACAAATTTTGTCATTTTTCACACAAAAGTCAGGGTCCATTTGACCCGCTAAATATTGACCGATCTTTATCAAAACAGGCATGCTTATTCTTTGGCCCGACCCCCTTCTCCATGCAAAATTTCACGATGTTCGGGTCATTATTGCGGCCTGTGGAGCGACCAGAAAAACCGACAAAAATTTAGTATTTGGTCCATTTCATCCCCTAAATATTAACCGATCTTTCCCAAAAACAATAGGGGTCTGCATTGGCCAGAACCCATCCTACATGCAAAATTTCGTGAAGATTGGTCCATAACTGTGGCCTGTATCGTGTTTACAAATTATAATGGACAGACGGACGGACGGACGGACGGACGGACGGACACACATGTCTAGATCGACTCAGCTAGTCGAGATATGACGATCGGTATACTTAAAGGTGGGTCTAGGACCAATATTTCGCGGCGTTACAAACTTTTGGGGCTGCACAAAGCTATAATACCCTGACAACATAGTTGTGTAGGGTATAAAAACAGAAATGAAAATAGTAAAGTCGGACTTGGCCGACTATATGATACCCTTCACCATTTTGGCATATTCTACATATATATCCTAATAGACTTCACCTTTACGAAGGAACATTGATATGGAAATTGAACGAACTTAAATATATGATATTTATCTATA